GTTTTTTGTGTATATTTAACTCGTCATGTTTTCTTTATAGTTCTTCCATCTCACGACATCTCTGTTTCATTTAGATCTCTTTCGTTAGCTTAACCTCGTATTTTATTTGTCGATATATTTCTCTATATCGAGTCTCATCTTTATTTTTATAATTTCTAATTTGCTGAATAAGGTCTACTATGTTATCGGTCATCCAATTCTTTTTCTTTACTGGCTCTTTTTTTATTTCAAATCTTCGTCTGCTAAGGTAACCATGGTGGAATTCATTAATATCTATATTTTGTCCGATATTTTCTTGTTGAGATCTTTCTAGTTTTTTTTTTAATTTTATGATTTATCTTATTTCCGAACTCATCTGCTATTACGGCATTTCTCAGGTGTCGAATATTATTTTTTTCTGAGCTGTCGGGGTTTTTATTATTTTAATTTTAGTTTGAATCCAGCACAGAGCAGATTATGATGAGTTGCTGCTTCTGCACTTGTGAATGTTTTTGCAGATTTAATACTGTTTCTAAATCTTTTGTTAATGATAATGTAGTCGATTTCATTTCTGACTACCTTTCCTACTTGATCAGTTGGATATTTCCAGGTATATAGTCGTCTTTTAGGTTGTTAAAACAAAGTATTTGTTATATTGCAATTCTATTATTAGCGTAACTGTATTAGTCTCTGTCCTCTTTTGTTCTTTTCTCCAAGTCCATACTTTCTGGTTATATCTTGTGATATTTTGGCACCAACGTTTGCGCTAAAGTCTCCCATAATAATCGTAGCTTTATGTTTTTTGTGCTCCAAAGAAATTGTTTAATTTAGAATTGTTCAATTTCTTCATCTGGTTTGTCAGCTGTTATTGCATGGACTTGCATTATATTAAAATTTATTAATTTATTTTGCAGGTGTATCAATTGAAAGAAACGAAATTTATAATACAGTTACGAATTTCTTCTTTGACAATAATTGCGATTCCGTTACATCTGGGTCCTTCTGCTTTTCCCGAGCATTAGATAATGTATACATTTCTCTCGAATATGTTTGACGCTAGCCATTTCGTCTTGCAGATACCTAGGATAGGAACGTCTAGTCTGACCATTTCCTGCTGAATATTGTGTAACTTCGCGCCTTCAAACATAGTTGCGACGTTCCACGTAGCTATTTTGTGGAGTTCCACGACACGGAGTTTCAGTGGGTTTACAACCTGAGAGGCCCCGTGGTCTGGTTGTGATCTTCCTTACCTGCCGCATCTTGAATTCCGAAGTCCATGATCATTAAAATTATGCATACTTTCTTCCTCTGTCATGGGAAGCTCTGTACATGGGAAGTCATGGAAAGTACTAGGGATATCCACAAGGATATTTAATGTAGTTATTTCTCATGCCGTTGGTCAAATTTTGGTTCATCCGCCTTCGGGGTCGAGTTCTTAACCCCAGGAGAAAAGGTGCCCTACCACGTACCAACTCCTATGCTCGCAGCCGTTGGTCAGTAAGTGGGGGACTGCTTATACCGACAATCACTCGGTGAAATTTTCGCCATATCTGGCTGCCTTTAGTCCTTAGTTTAGCCTGCAGATCAATGCAATTGCTCGTATTTCGACTTGTTCTACATCATTTATTTTTTATATGGTTTTTCTACCTACAACGAACACATTTCATTTGTTTACTTATATGCACTATTTGTTTGTAATTTGATATACACTTGCTCTTCCGTAAATTCACATGTGTCTATGTACACCCTTTCCATATTGTTTTCTATCTTACATAATATCTTAGCCATCTTTATTTTCTGTGTCACATCTTTTCTTTGGCATTTATGCTCTTACTTTAGTATTTGGGTGTCTTCTCTTCTTTTTGTTCTTTTATTAGTCGATTTATTTCTTATTTCATATTATGCATTCTGACTTTTTATCTTTCATTTAAACTTCAACTTGTTTATAAAAATTATCTTCTTAATATATTTTTTTTGTTTTTCACATAAGGGTAGTCTCTCTCATCCTTAGTTTCATCTCGCCTTCTTTTTATATATTCATCGGTGATATCTTAATCTCTATCTCGTTTCTCTTTTATTTTATTTAAATTACTAAACGTTAGTCTTCGCGAAAGAAAAAGGGGCCCAAGTTTATCCTCCTTAAACCCCGATTTCTATCGGCGACTTTCCTTATTTTCTTACTTATTAGTCTATACTTCCCACACCGGAAATTCTGTATCGTTTTTTTTTTAATTTACAATTAAGGCGTATTAACCTAAGTGGTTATTAGCGCCGCTTGGTATTACAATGTTTTTCACATAAATCCACATAAATTTTACAATCGCATCTTTAGCTGAAGTTGGTACAAATGGTTCTTTATTAATCACAACAATGGATGACTTGGGTAAATGGTGCCTAAGCTACTCATGGAACTTAAGGAATCTGTTTGTAAATTGAAAATAGTTCTCCTGCATATACTGTGCTAAAATTTGAGATTTTGTATGCAAGTGTAGTCTTTATGTATGAAGGCACACCCCACTCCTTTTTCTGATTTGGAGGCATCATTATAAATATGTTGGTCTTTCTGGTACTCATAAATCTTACTGTAATTGTTTAACCATAGAGGAAGCATTAAGTTGATTACTAGTCTATGTTAAACTCAAGTCTAGGAAGGGTTTTATTACTATCCAAAAAGGAGAGGTTAAAAGGTGATTTGGTATATTTTAGGGAAGACAATCTTATTGCTTGTGATGTATCTATTAAGTCTTTCATAAAAAGGGGGTTTAGATCTTTTTTTGTTAAGATATGTTGTGTGGAAACATGAAGCAAAGACATTGTTTCTGATGGGATTTTCACTATTCGCTGAAACGTTTGCAGCATATGCTAGGCTTAGATATTGTCTTCTTAATTCCAGAGGTATTTCTCCTACTAAACATAGTAAGCTATCTGTAGGTGTGATACAAAAAGCTCCTAAGGATATTCTTACAGCAGCATTTTGGATTGTTTGCAACTCTTTCAAAAGTGATTGACTAGTAGACCCATACACTATTGAACCGTAGTCGATTTTAGATCTAATAAGGCTTTTATGTACTGTCAATAAGATGTCTTTATCACATCCCCAATTTTTAGTAGATTTTAAAAATCCTAAATTTTTTTAGGATTTTCATTATGTTCAAATAATGTTGACAAGATGTTTTAAGATAATAAATATGTTGCTTAAAATTTAAATGTTTGTCAAAATTAATTCCAAGGAATTTGATACAATCAACATATTCTATTTTTGTGTTAAATATTGTAAGTTCTGGACTACTAACATTGCGTTTTCTGGTGAAATGTATACATTTACTTTTCTTGGAACAAAATTTTATTCCAGATTTCATTGACCATTTTTCTAATTCAGAAATAGTATCTTGTAAGGTTTGTTTCTTTAGTTCTATGTTTTTTTCCTTCACAATAAATTATAAGATCATCTGCGTATACCTACTATTAACTAGTAGAGAATCGTTTTTTAAAATACTGCTAATAGCAATAAGAAAAAGAGTAACACTAATCGATGATCCCTGAGGGGTTTAATTTTCCTGTATTCTTGTTTAAGGATTTTCTTGTATACCTAATTTCTGTAAAGTTTTAATTATTCCATGGCGCCAAACCGTATCAAATGCTCTGGTTATATCAAAAAATACCGCTATGCAGCTTTGATTATTTGCTAGCGCTTCATGTATTTCATACTCGACCTCAACTAAGTTGTCTAGAGTTCATCTATCTTTGCAAAATCCACTTTGTTTGTTAGATAAAACAGATCTTTGCTCGAGTATTCAAATAAGACGTTGGTTAATTAATTTTTCGAGCACTTTGCTCATTGCACATCCTAATGATACTGGACGGTAGGAGTTTGGGTCTGAACGGGGTTTACTAGGTTTAAGGATAGGTATTGTATAAACATTATTCCAAGTTTGTGGAAACACTCCTTCAGGCGATAATTTGTTATATATCTTTAATAAATGGGAAAATCCATTTTTAGGCAAATTTTTAAGGAAAATAATAGAAATATCATCTGGACCAGGACTAGAGTTTTTAATAGAATTGATAGATTCAGTTAACTCTTCCTCTAGTATTGGTGTATTTATTGGTAGGTTATCGCTTTTACCATAATTAAATTCTTGTAATTCTTCTTTGGTTTTAAATTCTAAAAACTCTTGAGAAAAGTTTTCGTTACTTGAATATGACTCATAGGATGAAGCTAATACATTTGCTATTTCAAATCTAGATGTATGAATTTTGTTATTATATTCTAAAAATCTTATTGATGAGTTTGTGTGGCGTCCCTAAATTTTGTTAATTTGTTTCCACACTATTGTTGCTGGGGTAGAACTGTTTACTGTTGATAAAACATTTTTTCACGATTCCTTTTTTGCTCCTTTTGCCACTTTTCTACTAATATCTGTTAACTTCTTAAATTCTAGAAGATTTTCTTGTGTGTTTTGTTTTTTGTATTTATTGAATGCTCTGTGAGTCTTCTTTATAGCATCCTGACAGTAATTGTTCCACCATGGTACTCCAATACGATTTCTTACTATTTTCTTTTTTCCAATGATATGATCTGCTGGGGAAAGTATGACGGAGGAAAATTTATTTACTAAGTCGTTTATATTGTCATGCAGGGATGGATCTGAAAAAGAATTAGAACAGATACTACACTTTGATCTTAGCCAGAGGCCGAGAAGCAATTCTGTATCGTTTTCTAACGACGATTCAGCGAGTCATCCGCTTTATCTGAATTGATTTAACAATTTTTTTGGTTAGGTTGGTTTGTTTTTAGCATTTTCACTGGTTACGTTACCTGTCATTCTCACTACGTAATGAGTTTGAATACTTATTAAGACAATAAGGTAATTTTTACTTTCCACTACACTCTACGAAATTTAAATAAAATAAAAATGAACAATTTAACTGCACTTTCGCACACAATGCCTCCAAAAGTTATACATACATATCCCTAAATTTTGTTGATTTTTTTGATAATAAATTTGTTTTGATTTTAGACAATAACAGCAGCTATACTTAAAGTCTTGAGGATAATCTTTGGAGAAAGAATAGCAAATGTTACAGGCGCGATTCACTGCTTAATAAAGTCGTTCTTATCTTTATTTATTAACTACGTTCTACCAATGTTGAAGGTTCTCGGTTAAGTCTCTAAAAGTTATATAAATTTGTTTTATTTTACAATAAAGTGTTTCAAATTAACTTGACTGTTTTAATTTCGGATAAGTCTGACTTCTGCGCAACTTCCTTTAGTGTATAACCCATAAAAGAGTACCAGTAAAATCATAATACATCTACTAAATTTTCCTCTTTATTTAAAAATGTAATTTTTCTATAATCATGATATTCATTACAACCTCCTTCTTCTTGTTGTTGTTCATCCTTTACAGATGTTGGCGACCATCATGGCAATCTGTCTTCGCAATCTGCAGCTCTGAAATGGTTTGTGGTTGTTGCGTTGAACCACGTACAGCTAGGAAATTTTTCGCCCTCCTGGTATCGTTTTCCTTCTTCTTCTACTTTTTCTCGAAGAATTAATTGCAGCAACCCATATCTTTAATTATTTCCGAGGTATTCAATTTTGGCTGTTTTTATTGTGATTAACAACTCTTGTTCTTTTTGAATTCTTAATAAAACGTCCTGGATAGTAACGTGGTCGGTATAGGATATCTCCAGGATTCTACTATAAAGCCACATTTATATCTGTAATAATCCACGAATCCGGTAGCGGGTAGGAACTCCTTTTGGATAATCCTATCAGGGCAAGTGAATCAATCCCTGCCTTCCGCAGATTCCAGGTGTTTCCTGACCCGAGAAACTAGTACCTGCTCAGGGTTCCTTGTCCAGGGTCATGGATGAAGCCCACAACGGCATCCAGGGCGGAGAAGAAGATCTTCACAAAGGTCTGGAAGGCGGAAGTGGCAGCCCAATGGTTTTAGGGCTTGTATAAAATCGAGGGGAAGATTGATCTCTGAAGTCCAAAAAGACAGTCAATCTAAAGGATGAAAACCTTAAGACAAATTTCCTGGCCCTCCAGGTTGGGCGTTGGATCATTGAGCCAGCTTCTTAATATCTAGAAAAAAACTACTGCTAAAAACCCCAAACCAAGCCTCGAAAATATAGACGGATCTAAACAAAGACGAAAACGGCTACGAAAAAGGACCATGATGATAGGTACATGGAATGTACAAGGAATGAGGGGTAAAACTCAAGAGATCATTAAAGAAGTAAAACAACTTAGCCTCAACATAGTGACCCTCACTGAAACGAAGAAGAAGGGCGTTGGATCAGTAATGATAGGAGACTACATACACCTGTATAGCAGCGTACCAAAGGAAGAAAGAGCTAAGAGAGGAGTATCCGTAATTATTAACAAAAAGTTTAAAAGGAAAATTACCAGCTGGACTGCAATAGATGAAAATAAAACGAAGTTATTAATAGAGTTGGAAATAACCGAGAAATATTTTTATTAGGCCATTTTAATGGAAGAACAGGAAACAAGCGCCACAACAATGTAATTGGACCTTATGGAGAAGATGTCGTAAATGATAACGGAGAAAAACTTATCAATCTCTGTGAAAGTAATAGACTCAAAATAACTAACGGATATTACTGTCACAAAAACATACACAAATATACATGGTTTCAACCAACAAGGAATCTTAAGTCTATAATAGATTACGTGATAGTTAAACAAAATTCACAAATACTCATTAGAGATATTAGAGCTATGAGAGGAGCAGTATGCGGATCAGATGACCACATGGTCAGAGCAAACATTGTTTTCCCATATAGATTAAAGGACAGTGTCTTATCAAGCCAAGACGAACAACTTTTAGAAATAATTGATCCTCAATACAATCTGTCCAGTTTAATTCATGAGAGCACCCGCACACTACCGGTATATGAGACTCAAATGGACTCCAAACTTAACGAAATACTAACAAATACCAAATATGGGAACATAATATCAAGTATTCATCAAACAGCACAGGAGGTCTTAGGAATCAAACACAATAAAATTACTAACAAGCTTTGGTGGAATAAAGACGTCGAAAATGCGGTAACAGAAAAGAAAAGATTATACCATAAGTGGTTGAATACAAAAGATGACGCAGACAAAGACCGATACAATGAAATGAAGAAGAAAACTAGAAAGATAATTATGACCTCCAAAAATGAGATATGGGATAGAAGGTGCAGAGAGATAGAATCTTATATTGGAGAACGACAATGCACTGAGGCGTGAAAGTTTATAAACTCTGTTAAGAAGCCGACTAACGAGAAAGTGATTCTAAATTCCATTTTTCCCAAGGATTGGACACATTATTACAAACATCTATTAAATGAGAACAGAGACGAATTTAAAGAAGATATGAATTCATCAAGAATCGAAATTCTGGGAGAGCATATTACCATAGATATCAACATAGTTCAAAAAGCTATAGCAGGGATAAAGATTGGGAAAGCAAGTGGACCAGAGGGAGTAACTATGGAATTAATAAAGAATGGCTCAGAGAAATTACACAGAATGATCACGGTGATATTTAACGAATATATTAATGGACATCCAACACCAGATGAATGGAAAACAGCGTTTATGACCCCAATATATAAAAAAGGTGTAGAAGGCCAGAAGGCCAGGGATCGAATCCCAACACCGCGGCGGCAAGAACAATTAGATATTTTTAAAATATCTAATTGTTCGGAAGTTACAATATTTCGGTCATGTAATGAGATATCCAGAGAGGTATAACCTTCTACACCTCATAATACAGGGTAAGATCGACGGAAGGAGAGGCCAGGCCGACGAAGAACATCCTGGCTACGAAATCTCCGAGAATGGTATCAAGAAACTACCTTTAATTTATTTAGAACCGCCGTGAATAAGGTTATTATTGCCAATATGATCGCCAACGTTCGATAATCAGACAGGGCACTAAAAGAAGAAGAAGAAAATATCTACGAGACCCAGGTCGACTCAATCTGATTAAAATGAGAACTTTGTATAAAACCAGGGGTAATAATAGATGGTTAAAGCGTAGCACTAGCCCCTCCCCTTACATTTCTTTTTCCTACCGCAGGAGTAAGAGATAACAGACTATCCTTGATATCTCCCAAAGGTCGCAAGCAGTACAAAGGGATATTATTATTCTACATTACGTCAATTATCAGGTTAACGCACTTTAAAAATTTGAAACAATGGTTATTAAAATATAAAATAATGATAAAAGACTTAAATGACAGCATTCCTAATGTTTACTAACTTTTGACTGTGCCACTTTTTTACCGATTTCTTGCTGATGGCACTCCCAAATTTCTTAAATATATCCATACGACCAAAATAATACACATGTGTAAGAACTAAAAAATTATTCATAATATTTATACATCTGTTTTTATTTTAGAGCATAAAAAACGTTGTGACAAGAGTTCTGATCATTCTCTTGGGACCTAACACAAAAGCTAACATAGCTGGACTGGCACATACAATAACATATGTGATACATTTAGTACTTAATATCTTTTTTTAAGTATTTGAAAGTTATAGAATGTGATTCTAATTTGTTTTAAAATAAAGTGTTTCAATACAAGTTTAATAGTCTTCATAAATTGACTAATTTAACTCCGCCTCTCGTGACTCTTGGGTGAATTGAGTACCTCAGTAACTATCAGTGCTGATCCCAATCCCGAAGAAAGGAGGAGGGTTTGCATCAGAAAGGACATTCGGCACTAAATACCTTGCTGAAAACATGAAAAGAAGAAATATAGAAAGCACTTTAGAGACGAGGGTATTCCCCGTAAGCGATGTGCAGTTGATCTGTATATACTCACCATTATCAAGTTCAGTAACTTCAGCTGCTAAAAAGTCGACATCTGAAAAAATCTCTGGGTCAAATGGAATTATTCCAATTTTGCGGAACCGGTTTATCCTATTTTTTGGTATTGTTTTTTGAACCTATTCTCTATCCTTCCATTGTTGGATATAGGTCTCCCCCAGTTCTCTCCATCTTTCCCTATCTTGAGCTATTCTCTGTCATGTGGGACGTCCTTGTTTCCTGATGTCGTCTTTCCACCTCATCTGTGGTCTGCCTCTTGATCTCTTTGCATTCTATGGACGCCACGTTCCGATGGCATTGTTCCATCGTCCGTCTTGGAGACGTTCATTGTGTCCAGCCATTTCCATTTCAGTTTTGCTGCTTGTTCTATCGCGTCTACTGTCTTTGTTCTGGTTCTGATTCACTGGTTACGTTTTCTATCTCTAAGTGATACACCCAACATTTGTCTCTCCATCTCTCTTTGTACCTTCCTTATCCTATCCAAATTGGACTGTGTAAATGCCCATGTCTGTACTCCGTAGGTGAGCACCGGTATTATGCAGGAGTTATATACCTTGCTTCGTAAGTATAGAGGGATTGTTTGATTTTTTAGAACGTAAGAAAGTTTGCCGAACGCTGCCCATCCCATTCTTACTCGTCTCGATATTTCGACTGTTTGATTTTTTCTATTAACTCTGATTGCTTGTCCTAGATAGATATACTCATTTACCTGTTCTATTTTGTCTGTTTTTATTTTTATTGCCTCTTGGTCTTCCGTGTTTGTCATTACTTTTGTTTTGTTGAAGGTAATTTTTAGGGCTTTTGCAGTGATTTTTTATGAAGTTTATTCAGCATTAACTCCAGTTCTTGTCGTTCCGAGGAGATCAGGAGTATATCATCCGTATATTTAATTTATAGATCTTTTGGTATACAAGTCTTTAAATAGCCTTCGCATTGGCGTTGACTATGTGAAAATGTTAAGGTATGTGTTGCTAAAATAAGGATTGCATCAGGGCTTAGTGCTTACTTGTTTTAGACCTTGTATCAGAAAGATAACACATTTATTTGAACATTATGGTACTACTACTAATAATACTGAATTTTGAAATCTGTAACAAAATCAATGGTCAAATAAATTGAGAGGCGTGAAGTATTTTTAAAACCCCGTAAAGAAAATGGAAGCAAACCAGTGATGTTTTCGATTAACAAAAAAATTTTAACAAAAGCATAATCAATGCTATAAGATTGTCGCAATACTAGTCATGATAAAAGTTCTAAAAATGTTTCAGGTAAATATATGAACATAGCATTCATCTTCTTCTTCAAGTGCCCTGTCCGTTGCGAACGTTGGCTATTAACATGGCAATTTTGATCTTGTTTGCG